TTTTAATCAATGATCAAAGACATCATCAACTCTCAATAAATCAAAATCGGATGAAAACATGTAAGAAATTATTCATATATTGTATATGATATTATGCTTTTGTGAAACACGATCTGAAATGAATATTGAAGTATAAACATTTGTGTAACTGAGACAATTCTCTATCAGCAGTAGCAGGTTCGAAGACTTCAACAGAATCGCTTCGACTAAGATCTTCGGAAACTAAGATGATCCCTAACCAGATTTCTGATCCCCGTTCAAACTTCATGGAGAGGTCGGAGACGTCTCGTTCTGCTCTACTCAATAAAAATGTCTCTCAACAACTTCGAATGGATACGAGAAATTTGGTTTTGGATGTCTTGATTTGCTGAAAATTCTCATTAAAGCGATTTTGTTGAGGCCTTTGGGTCTACTAATCTTGTTGGAGAACTCTTTTAGCTTCACAAATGTTTTTTTTTGAGATACTTACTCGTTATTATCATGGCGAAGAAAACTTTAAAATATAGCTGCAATAAACTCATGTCAGACACTGTAAATAGAGTAGAAAATTGTACAACCCCACTTTCCGTCAACAGACCATGGTAAACGATTCCTAGTAACGTCTCTCTTTTATCATTGATAGTATCGTTTAGTTAACTATCTACTTCCTTATTGCACTTCTGAAGCATGAAGTAATAGAATGATGAATAAATCTCTTTTTAATTAGACTGTATAAAACAGTCTTCTTGTGCTTAACAACAGCAGCGACATCATGTTTTACACTTTAATCTCACACGAAGTGCGTCAGTAGCATTATTATTATTATGGGTCTACGAAAATGCTTCGAACGAAAAATAGTTGAACGAAAATTAGTCGAGAGGTTTACCAGAAAAGAACAAATGGTCTTTTAAATAAAAACTTTCAGTTATATGAAAAATTATCAATACAGGACTTATCTATAATCCTTCTAATTTTTATGGTTTGTGCGAAATATATGAGATGAATAATAGGAAATAGAAATAAATCCATGATAAATTACAATGTTAAGCAATTAGTCAACTTTATTTTGATTACACAAGATCATATCAAAGTCGTAGATTTGTTGAACAACATAATCAGTCATGAGAAAAGTTCTTCAACGAATTATTCGAATACTCTGAAAAAAAATTCGAGTCCTTAGCTTATGATTATTGAAATAGTGCATTTTTACGGCTTGTTTAAATCAATACCATGATTCTTCTCAGGGACACTAGGAAAATTTGTTTTCGAATTTGGATTTAAAAACTCTCATTAGAGACAGATCATAACGACAATAGTTTATTGTCGCATTTTCAGATCTTTTGATTTACTACTTTTCTGAAAATAAGAACATAAAATCTGCCGCTATGTATGAGTCGAATAAAAGACAAGCTTTTATCATAGCTATATTTTAGTGTAGGATCGCCGAAAATATCTGAAGCTTTCACAATAAACTATTCTTGATGAGTCCAGTTTCTATGGAAAGTTTCAAGTTGAAATTTGGAAATAAGTTTTTGTGGTGTTCGTGAAGAGGACCATAAGTGAAGGGTGCCTGAACTCTTTTCAATGTATTCATGGTCCATCAAGGCCTACACGAAGCACACGGTCTCAACTCAAAAAGTGATTAATTGATTCGAGAACTTTCCTCGTCAGTCATGGAAACTTTAATTTGTGACGAGTCATCTTTTGATGTCTTATCACAGACTCTAACTGTATCAGAAAAGTTAGTTCTTCACATTGCCATTCAAAAGTCGAAAGGAAGAAAGAGAAAAGAAAATTTGCGGTAAGAGCACATTAAGTAGAAAATAGAGAATGAATCAAAGTGAGAGAAATAATATTTTTATATGTATTTTTCCTCTTGTTATTGTCTTTGTTTAAGGTTCAAATAATAATGATTCATCAATAGTAAGAATTTTTTCATATAATGACAAAATGTAAGGATTCAACAATATCTAGAGAACTACGTAGTAAGAGTCAATAAAGTAGTTTTCCTTTGTGTTAAAGGAAGTTTTTCGAAATGGTTTAAAAGAATTTATTTGATGAATATAAATGCATTTCGATTTATACTTGAAGGATTAAAAACAAACAGTTGGAACTAATCTTTAGAGCTTTTCTGTGACAGTATTTAACTGATGTAGAACAAGATGAGATATTTTCTCGATTAAATAAGATTATTTTCTAAGAAAAAACTCTGTTTTAACGTATCATTAAATAGTCTTCTATAAAAGAAAAAAACAAACCATTCATAATTCCTAAAACATATAGAAAAATAAAATTCCTATGATAACACACTATTAGATGGAAATTTTAGAATAATGTTCCAAATGAGTAGCTAATTCATTTCCATGAACTGTCCCTACCAAGTTATTATAACTTTGCTGAATTTTTTACTTCTGGCAAAATATTTGTGAAATAATTGAATTAACAAATTTCAGTCGGAGGGGATGTGTTCTTCTGGAGATATTCATTATCTTAGCATCAACATATTCCTTTTGGATTGAGATTTTCAGACCATCCTAAGATCGGCGAGATCTGCTCTGATGGACAAAAGTTCAGGTTAAAATTTTGTAATTCAACTTTTTTGACAAATAGCTTACCAGAAATAAAAAATTCACTAAAATAATAATAACCTCATAGGAACAGCGCATGAGGATGAACTCTTCTATAGACTTCTACTGATCTCGTTGCAGTCTTATGCGTATCCTAATAATTAATGAGAGTTGTAATTGTTCCGAACTATTACTTATTTATGTGATTAAATCAAATATTTTTGAATGACAAATGTTTTCAAGAATGAATTGTGACCCATCGATGGCAACAACTAATCAACTTTCCGAAAAAATCAAACGATAAAAATCCTTCTATTAACATTCTTTCATTAAATGATAAACAATGCAATAATATTCCTGATTGTTCATTTTTAAAAATCTTGGCCATTGGCTGGGTATGATTAAAATCGAAAGAAATAAACCAATTCCTGCACCGATTTGTACAAAACAAAAAGTGTAATAGTCAAAGCGGGGTGTGGGTGTGGGTTTAGAATAAAGGACAAACCACATCCACACCCACCCTTCATGGAAAAAAAAATGATGTGTCAATTGTACTGGGAAATTCCAATATGCTTCTATAATGTTATTTCTCTTGATCTTGTTTCATTCTCAAATTAATGTATATTTCGCTGCACTTGTTATTGTCTTTTTTTCCTCTCCTAGGAATTTATATAACATATAGCACTATTGGTCATAGAGTCTAATCTTTATAAATTATTTATTATATTTTGCATCTTATCTACTTTGCTAGGCTTGATAATAAATAATAGTCTCATTGATTTTACGTAGTTGCTATCATTCCATTACAAGCTTTATTAATTTAGTAAGAGATAAAGATTATATACATGAAAAATCTCTAATACTAATTTGACGTTGTATTCTAGCACTTGTTGAGCTATTAGAATCGATGAAACAATTCATCAATATTCGATCTTCCAAATGTAAAAATTTGACCTTTTATCCTGGTTCACTTTTATATGGACGGATCAGGTCAAGTTGACAGTTTAGATTTGTATGGCAATTCAGAAAAAAAGGAAAGAACCATCGAACTAAGTATTAATATCGAGTAGTATTCTCGATCTACTAGTTTAGACTAATTGCCACCTATTTTAATTATCCTTTCTGTGCATATGTTTTGACGTCATTAACAGCTACATGGATAAGTTTTATATACTCGGTCTCAGTTTTCAACTCTTAATGCATATAGACACAGAATCGAAGAAAAGAAAACCAACAATTGTATTAAAACATTTTCGTATGAGTTTTGTCTCTTTTATGCCGTTGCTTGTTAGCCTATCTGGTTATATAGTAAGGCAATAGCTATCGATTCATGTAGACAATGACGACATAAAAATGTAGCAAGCGGTTTGTAGCACCACTTTGTCATGTCGTCACTGCATATTTCATTTGTCTTGCACACAACTGCTCATCCTACATTCATTTACTATCTTTCTTTCATAAAAAATAATTGTAGCTTAAGACAGCAACATTTTTCGGTTTCGACGTCCTCCGATTTTAATAGAGGTAATTCGACATATTTTCTATTCACAATCTGCACCACTGAAATTATCAATCTTGCCTATAGAGTCAAGTTAAAGAAAAGGTTTGCATATTTTATAATCTCATCGGTAAAGTGTAAAAATAAATCAATGTTGCATTCACACAGCCAAATGATTGATTATTTTCAAGTAAAATTCGATTGTATCATCATATCGATTTCATCTAATTTATTTTTAGTGTGCAACTAATGCGAATTTTGAAGAAAGACTTGATTCTCTAGCGAGAAAACCCAACCAATTGATTAAAAGCTTTAGAATTCATATTTTGTTAGTCAACAGAACTGAGTAGGCCTACAAAAGCTTTAAGTAGATTGTCGCTTATAAGCATTTCTTCCAGATTTATGACTATTTTTCTGTAATTTTGTCCTATCGTAAAATTTTTAGCGAACGATCGGATTAGGAAATTTCTGTGTGAAACTTTGCCCATAGCAGGATCTCATGATCCTTAGAATATCCTAAAAGTTTTAGCCAAAATGTTTGTTTTCTGTTGGACATACTAGGTGTCCAAAAAAACATCATACTTCATAAAACAAGTCGAAAGATCGATCCTTCTTCGAAATTTAATATCTCAAACAGAAATTTCCTAATCCAATCGTTTGCTAAAAATTTTACTATAGGACAAAATTACAGAAAAATAGTCATAATTCTGGAAGAAATGCTTATGAGCGACAATCTTCTGCAAGTTTTCAGTCAGTTAATGGAGTTCCCTCGTAAGACGACATAATTGAAACTTAACGATATCTTTAGAAGCTAGAGAAATTAATATTGAGAAATAGAAGTTAGATTGTTGAATACAATTTCCAATAAATTTGAGAACTGTAATTTCTAATAAGAGCTCTGTACTTTGCTTGAAGAAATACAAATACAACGATATTATTCTTGTTATTTTCAGAAAATGGCTACAGCCGTTGTTATGAGTGAATGCAAACGAATTAATCTTGTTCCTTATAATAATAAGAAAGCAGAACTAATTGAATATCCCAAACAACATGGTGATATACTTGCTCAACATAAACTATATGGGACTGATACAACTTTATCGTTAGTAGAAAAAGAACTTAACATAACTGTGACCAACTTTGAAAATGGTTCACTTGATCAAGACCAACGATTAGGAGCTAAAATTACTAAATACGAACTTGATGTCTTCATTTTTTTCATTGATCCGTTAGACTCTCATCCTCATACGACTGATATTCAGACGTTTATTCGCTTAGTACAAGCTTATGGTATTATCTCTGTTATAATTCTTGCTACAGTTTATTGTATAGTTAATTCAAACAAAATGAACGAAAATCATGTGCGATAAATTCAATTAACTTCAATATGAACAATAAAAGCTTATTAGCGCTGCTTCTTTACTGCTAAAAATGTGGAGCTCACGTACTTCGATATAAAATAAAAGATATTGCAGTAGCATTAGAGATTTTTCTGTTAGAAAAAATGGTTGGTGGGAAAATTTGTACGCAATGACCTTTCATACCCTTATTGCTGGATGAAACATATTTTTTACATTCTAGACCACCCCCTCAGGATGTAGGGAGGAGGAGTCCTAAAAGCTTCGATTTAAAACTTACTGTGATTTTTTTTCTATTTATTACGTCTAAAATAAATTCTGTTCTAAAAGCTTTTACTATCTAAGTTAACGAATAATAATGGTGATCAGTATGGATCGAGTTCTTTTTATTTTATAAGATTTAAAAAGACTGATTTCGATTTGGCAATTTTCTCTTTGATTCTCATTGATATTTTTCTGATTTAACAAATTTTTATTCTAATCATTTCGAAAGAAAAAACCATAGATGAACGCTTAATTTTTATTAACATATATATATATCAAATATTCTTTCTATATTATATTAATAATTAAGATTACGAAAAATGAGAAAACAAGACAACAAAAAGGATATATATTTCGTGATTAAGATAAATAAATAAAGAATAGTTTAATCACCATCATCATCATCATATAATAATTCAGGCTTTATCTGTCCGATATATTGTCGTTACACATGTTAGATATTATTGAAATACTTTTCAAAGCTGAGACTTCTCGTTTTGATATTAGACTGATGTATATGTCATGTGATAAAAGAGAACATGACTGAATGGCAACGTGTTTCTTTCTCTGGAATAAGCATAATATTCGAGGCTTCCCTTCCACAGTAACATGTTTGTATGATTCTTTTTTCTTTTCTAAACGTCTTAAGCGATTTGTTTAGTGGCTGATCGATACATTCTCCTAAACTACCAAGGTGAACCAACTCTACAAACACTGACAAATACAGAATGTTCCAAAAGTCACACTACACTTTATATTGTACATATTGCACACGTCTGAACATCATTTATTATTATTCATTAGTTATAATTTATAAATCATTATCTGCTAGCTATAGGGTGTTCCAAGGATACTTCTTGACGATAGATAATGATTTATAAATAATGAATAACGAGAAATAAGTTTCAAATGTGTACAATACAAAGTGTAATGTGAATTTTGGGACACGCTGTATTTTATCTTATCTCTGCTTTATATTTGCATTTTGCTTTGATTGTCATTTTTTTCCTCATGAGTTACTTCTATTCATTAGTATGCCCTATATGTTCTATCCCAGGCAGAGGATTAAATAAATCGCAGTGAATAATATTCTCATCGATATCTTTAATATGAAGAATGCATACTGTTAGAAGTAGCATTTGATGACGAGAAATTTTATGTAATACAATGATAAATTTTTGAGCGAATAAAATTATCAAATTAAACGTATCATAAAAAGTGAACCTATAGTTTTTGTTCAAAAAGGAAAGATTTTTGAATATAAAAATGAAACGTACAACATATTAATTATGATCAACAATGTTTACGACATGGTTTGTTTGAAATTAATATACTTCTTTAATGTATTCAACCTGTGTTAGCCTTTGATGATTTTTGTCGATTGTATAAGAACTGAATATTAATAATATATTTCGTGATGAAGACTCTTACTTCATTTTTTCGTTCTTTCGGTATGTTTTCCCGAATGTTTGAGACATTTGATCACCTACATAAGCATAGGAGTTGGAAAAAAAATCTTCTCGTCGTTTAATCCCTGTTTTCGTTTTGAAGAACATGAAATATTCTAAATGATCAACTAATAAGATTTTTCGTTCGACAAACGAATAAAACTAACATCCTACCACACATAGTGTGAAGAAATCCATGATAAAAAATACGGAAACTTAATCACTCGAAGCTATCCACAAGATTTTTAATATCATTCCAACTCATTAGACATTGATAACAAGAAGGCTTTTTCATTTTAACTTCGATATTCTTCATTCTAACTAGATTCTTATTTGTCAGAGCCACAAAATATATCTTCTTAATCTCGTCATGTCATAAACGGTTTAGAATGCGCATATATATCGAATCACTCAATCAGCACATGTTTCAGTTTGGTATAAATGAACGAAAACAAAAATCAATACTGTTTGCTCCTAAAACTTTAATCTTTCTTCCAATTTTCTTTCCATTATTTTAACTCGATAAAATAAATCAAGATATCATTTTTTGAAAAGGAAAACTCTTAATTCTCTTGTTTCTACAGTTTGTTTGTTTGTTTGCAAGCTACAGATAAGACAAAGAGAGTATGATCATCAATGCTTTCGAAGAACAAAAATCTTTTATATTTACTAACCCGTTAATTGAGATGTGAACATCGTATTTGTATAAAAACACTTGATCTAATTATATCAACATTGCATAGTCAGAGATGGCAGTATCACTTTTCGACCAGACGAGACTCTCAAAATCAATTTAGGGAAAAACCAAGCTGTGCCTAGTTTAAAATGCACATGAAAACAATGAAACACATGAGATTCAAGCGCATTCATTCTTTCTAATGAATATGAGATATATAAATATAACAATTTTCTATCAGCATATTATATATAAAAGAAATCCGATATCTTGTTGAATACCATCACCTATTACTCAAAGCTCATCTTAATAAGTAAGTAAAAACTTATTAATTAAGAAGGATATTTTCTTTACATATTTGTTCGCTCAACTCACAGTGCTTTTTGGTCGCAAACTACAAAAAGCCTTTGATTAAATAATCAGATGGTGAAATCTTGTTTGATCGTTTAAGAACAAACGAGAATCTCACAAAGAATCGTCGCATCTGGAATTTTACATCAAGTCGTGCTGCTAGACTCTTCAAAGATCTTATTCATCACATAAGTTCTTTCATAATCTCATGGTAATGTTTTACCAGATACTAAGAGCTTCGAAGCATCTTATAGTACAACTTAGTTATGATAAGCGTCCATAGACGTACGATCTTGTCGCATGATTGTTTGATATGGGAACGAATCGGTCAGAATGACGAAATGAAGCTTTAATAATTGTTTTAGATATATCAACCAGTCACAAAAAATGAATATTTCTGTTGTTGTACTACTTTCCATTATGAAAAATCTCAGATAGTATGGAAAGTTCTGCATAAGAATATACTTATTATAGTCCATTCATTCTGTAATAAAACATTTGAAATAAAACGAAACTATAGTAAAGCATCAGAATGTGTGTCTATTCATTTTAATGCAACATCTTGTGAAAAATATTTCCGTTCTGTTAGTCATGATCTCATTTCACAGATTATTAGATTGTATGCCTATAAGATAGACTTAGTTTGAAGATTCACAAATCAACTAATAGAACAGATGAGCTGAATGATACAATGGACAGAGCAATACTTTGACGCATTATCTTATGGTTTTTGTTGCATTAATTTGTTTAGAATTGTCATCTGGAATAATAACTTTACTTTCCCATACTTTAAAATCGAAGTTTCTCGATTTTTCAGATATTTCATACGAGAACGTAACATAACAGCAGACATCATAGTGTATCTTTTGAAAACAAATTAGCTTTCTATTATTTTCCTGAGTAAAGATATATGCAAAAATGGAAATGTCGCAAAACTTTTCATTCATTCATTATACTTAAAAGAAAGTGTTTTAATAGATTTTTCTATACCTTTCTTCAAATATGTTTTATTGAAAATAATTATGATTGGTTATCATTAAAGATAATTTCTTTATCTTTGCAGTCTCTTCCATATTCGTCCTGTTCAATGTGATTTTTTTCTAAAGCTAAAATGTTGTTATATTATTCTCTATAGTCATTATTCAGAAAAAATTCTATTGTAGAAAAATACCCACGGTTTACATTTGTATTAACATAACATTAGCCAATATGTCTGACAGTTAGCAACAACTTGAAGATTTGGCAAAAAGTACAATTTCTTCTTCTGATATCGATTGAGAAGAGACTCTTCGAGAACAAAAATCTAGAGAGATAAGTTATGGAAATTTCTCTCAAGAAGCTAACGACACTCAATCAAATAATCAAAATTTCTTTTAATCAGCAATACGAATCACTTCCTGTTCTACAATTTTTATATTTCTACTCATCTGTTGTGCAATGTTCTTATCTTATTTCAATTAATGTTTATTATTGCTCGTTTCTTTGTCGATAAAATTTATTTGTTTTTCTTTCGGAAACGATATGGGATATTCCAGAAATAAAATTATTTTTGAATATTTCTTATTTAAATATAACTAATACAGAATCTATTATGCAATAGATAATGAGTGTCCAGCGAATTGAATAGACACTTATTGTGTACATACGAGTGAAAATGTCTCAATTGATTTATAATAATGAAAACATTCTTTTCATTCGAAATATCACTTATGATAGATTACTTACAGTTCAT